GAAGAAGGTAACTCTGCTCCAAAAAAGGCCATTCGTCCTACTGAAGTGAATGTACAAAATGAAGGAGATATAATAGATGATGTCATTGACAACTCTTCAATTAGCGTTTGGCGTAATCTTCATTTCTCACCGAATTGTGTATGGCGTGTATTAAACAGAAAAATATTATATGTGTTTCATCTCCAAAATGTACAAACATTACAAGCTGGAGATGCTCTTCAGCGATTAGAATTTTCTCGCTGGTTACTTCAACAACATGCACAAAATGATAGATTCATTTCGTTTGTTATGTGGTCTGATGAAGCGTGTTTTACTAGGGACGACATAAATAATAATCACAATGAACATATCTGGGCGTTATAAAATATGCATGCAATTAAATCAAAATGATTTTATCAACTTTTCAGTGTCAACGTTTAGGGTAGCATTTTCAACAATAATTTACTGCCTGTACAGGGTTATTCATATAACATTTTACCCCCCCCCCCCCTAAACTTTTTTATTTTTTGAGTTAGACAAAAATAGTTAAAATAAAAGTTGTAAGGAATCTTTCTATGAGTTTAATGAGTTTATGAAAATAGAATTTATACAGGGCGATCGTAAGTTCCATTGGATCACCATTACAACATCTGGCAAGATTCCTGGGTAAACAATTACAACCATACACCGAAGTAGCAAAATTTTACGTCAAGAACGCAACGCTACTTTATCGAGCGTATTAGAAATGTAAAAGTGGATCCAGAACATCTGCTAGTAAGCTTTAATATAGTGTTCCTATTTACAAACATTCGAGTGGAACAAGCACTCGTCATGATCCAAAGGAAATACCATGTAAGAGAGCAAATACCTTGAAGCATTTTGAATCAAATGTTTTGGGTTTTGTTGAATGTAATGTAATCATTTCTGACATATTTTCAGTTGTAAGGTTTACTTCTTTTTTTCTTATTTTTTACCGTACCAGTATTTCTCCACAAGAAATATAACATTAAACAATATAATTGTTTTCATTAACACTATAAGAGTTATACACCATGTTCAAAGAAGTACGAGAATAGTGTTACATCTGTCTTTTCAGTTCTATGACATTTTAATTTTACATAGCGGTTTTGATATTTATTGTTCATGGCGAGATTTAGTCCTTCAAAGCAGAATATTGAGCAAATTATTAAATAAACCCACAACATTTTATATATATATATATATATATTGTTGGAATCGGCATGAAGCAAAGATTCCGAGAATCGAATAATATACAGGGTATTACATTTATAAATTCCCTACAACTTTTATTTTAATTATTTTTGTTCAACTCAAAAAATAAAAATGGGGTAAAATGTTACACGAATAACCCTGTACATGTATGATCGTTTTAATGCAAATCTGTATAGAACTTTCTTGGAAAACAACCTTTTTGATTTCATTGATGACGTAGGCTTAATACTGTTCAAAATATGTGATATCACCATGATGATGCACCATCACATAGAGACAGATAAGTAACTGCTTGGTTAAATGATCATTTCCCGAATAATTGGATAGGTCAACAAGCTCCAATAGCATGGCCACCGCGTTTCCCAGATCTAAATCATTTATTTATGGGAACATATGAGGCAGTTTGTCTACAATGTTGAAATCACAACCCGTCAACAGTTACTTGAAAGAATTCTGGATGCAGGTAACCAGATATGAAATGATCCAAATTTCATCTGTCTAGTAACGGAATGTTCAATTTGCCGATGTGAGGCTTGCAATCGAGTCGAAGATAGAGCTTTTGAAGAATCTTTATAGTTTGAAGATTTGTTAATTTTGTTAATAAAGGTTAACTAATGTTTAGACTTTAAACACAAATAATAATTATTGTTATAGCAACCATCATTTTTATTTCTCAGGCTACTTTGATTGAACTATGAAATTATATATTTTTTTAAATTTTTGTAACTTAAACAAAAACTAATTGAACCTATGTTCATATAAGAAAAAATGTTTGAAATTTACCCAGTTACAATCTGCCAAAGTTTGTCATAGAGTTTGTAGAACACCCAATATATAAATATTTAGAAAATCACAAATACTCAAATAAACTTTGAGTAACTGAAATAGATACTAATAGATATAAAAATTTCACATCTGTCGCTTCTTGTCACACAGATGTACAGGTTGTACCTTATGTTCAACAGAATACTGCAAAATTAACACAAAAATCTTAAGTAAGTTAAGTACATATTACAAGCAATATGAACACGAATATATTATTGCGAATTCGTAAATCATAATGGGATCGGATGGAGCGTTTGTTTCTGGTTCCATTTTCACCTGCAGTGCTGGGAGTTTAGTCGCCCGTTCGTCGATGAGGGGAACTACGAGAGACGTCAGGCAAAGACATGGGAGATTTTCACTCTTCCTCCATTGATGACGAGATTTGGCTTTGCTTTGGGTTCATGATCCACCCTCTAACTGTTTTATGATTGAAAATATGTGTGTGTAACGGGTTTTCAACTGGAACCTGTATATGGTTACACAATGTCTGTTTAGCACTGTCAAGTCTGGTAACTTAGTGTCTGAATATCACTGTCTATTTGCACCTGCTAAAAGCACTTATGTTCAATAGTGTACAGTAAGCTCTAGGAGCTTTTTGTGTGAATGACAGCGTGAGAGGTAGATTTGTGAATGGCTGCATAAGTGGTGAATTTGTAAGGGTTGTGCTCGCTTTTGTAATTTTTTAGAGAATTATAACTCGGATATGGTTTTAAAAGAATTGTGTGCTTTGTTTAACGCTTGGTTGTAATAATAGTGTAAAAGAACATGTAAATTGCTTATACAAAGCAAATTAAATTTGGAACGTGTGTTACTGATTATGCAGAATGAGAAAGGTCAAGTCGACTGCACACTCTATAATAAAAGTTGACAGAACCCGCCGGGAATCCTGTTGCATTTTAGGTCCAGGAAATTTGGTGCTTCAGAAACTGCACCTCGATGTTGAAGGCGTCTCTTAGGAGTTGAAAGGCTGATATTAATTAGTACCGACCCAAAATTTATCTGGGGGTGCGAGTTGTAAGTACATCGGGGACGATTTTGGCGGCAATTGCGACGTCTGCGGAGCCTGGGCGGAAAATATTGGAAAGATCGGCGTCTTGCGTGATGCGTTCTCGGCATATGAATGAAACATCGTAGAAAATTTAGTGTTAGTAGTGTCTTTTTATTTAAGCGGGAATTGCGCTATGTTGTGTGATTTCCTATTTTTAGGCGAGATCTGCCCCTTGTGAAGTTGGATTCCTATTATTTTGAAGGGAAATGGGCCATGGAGGCTCGTCTTAAGGATTTTTAGATTTTTATAGGTATTTGAACATGGGTGAATTTTGTGTAGGTACTATGACAATTCATTTTATTCTTTGTTGTTGTTCTATATTCTCATGCATCATAAATTTCAGATTTCTATTATCTTGTTTCTGTCCTTGTTAAAAATGTCTTCCTAACCATAGAATTTCAGTCGTTTCGTTTTGATTAATTTTTCAATTGTATTTGTTCATTTACTGTAGTTAATTGTGGGATGAAATATGAACAAGAGTAAACTAAATAGTTTTTTCAATAATTCTTTATTTTAATATTTACAGAATGGTATGTAACCTAATGTGTCAGTTCTGATTTCTGTCAAAAAACATCACAATCTGTAAAAAAAAAGTTTAAACTTTTTCCAGAATTCCCGCCCATTATTTTTTTCCATTTCAAATATATTTAAAAAAGTAGTTTAAAGTCAGTGGCGGCTCTTGACTTCCATACCATGTGCATGGTTATTGTTAAACATAGTTGTCAATACGGAAGAACTGTTGTCCATAAAAACGTTAACAGATTGCATTAAATGAAAGTGGGACACAAAATGTAATTCGCACTTAACTTTTTCAGAGCTTTAATAAGCGCATGCTCTAAGAATTCAGTTGCCTTATACATTGAAAAGTTACTAGTTTTTTGCTCAAGTAGCTAATCGTATTCAGTTTCACTGGAATCACTTAACATTTTAATACGGCTTCACAAAAAAATAAGTTAAGGATTCATATTTGGTAACAGGGCAGGCTAATGATGTGGTTTATTTCTACAAATCAATGCTCATATATAATGTTGGAAAAATATGTGCACATATTAAACATAAGTATAGCATAGTATAACACATACTTTACAACACAGAAAATTTGCACAAATTCTTGTTATACTTATACGAAATATTTTCTATGTGCATATCAAACTTGACAAAATTATTCCTTGGATCATTTTTGACCAAAAAACCGTAATGAACCAAAAACACAATACTGGTGTAAATATGTTGGGAAGCACTCACTAGGAATTCTATGTGCATTTATTTCTTAATGATATTTATAAGAATAAAAATGTTTTCCATTTTTTTCGTAAAACAATGCATTTTATTTATTTTTCAATAAAAAATAATTTGTCATACACTTGAATAAATCTAAAATAACTAAAAATTGTTTCGGTTTACACAAAAAAGTAATTCAAAAAATTGTTTAACAAAATATTCTATATTTCATTGCTGTTGCTTATTTGATGAATAATTTTGGAGTTACTTTCGATTTATTTAACAGAGTGGTAAGATCATAAAATAATAACTCAAATGTGCTCTTTTTTCGAATAAATACTATCAACTTTTTCGAAAATTTAATACATTTTTGAATAATTGGTGGCCATTACTATTGTAAAAAAATTCAATGTTTTTTTTTTCTTACCTGTATCTAGTTAACTTGTTAATCTAATTTTGACCAATCTATGTTAAACATATTCAGAGAAATTTGATTAAATGCGGTTTAAAACTCAATATCCTGTATCTCAAATCAGTGGCTTGACTCTTAACTCATTAAGGCTTTTTTATTTAAAATAATTCAAGAAACAACCTCCTGAAGTTATGAATTTAAAAAATGGCCTCTATAAATAATTTCTGATAGAGAAAGGCATGTGGTTTGTGGTACCATTTTATTATAAAATATATATTTCAGACACAAATTTTGTATTATCCAATTATAAAACGGAGCCGTGCAAACGACCTCCAAGATTATGTAGACAAGGATATGCTTGCCCTCAATTTCATAATAGTAAAGATAAAAGAAGAAGCCCTCGGAAATTTAAATATAGGTATAATGATTATTGGTTTTACTTGATTGTGTGGTAATGGGCTATTGTTATATATTTTTTTAGATCAACACCTTGTCCAAATGTAAAACATGGCGAAGAATGGGGTGAACCAGGAAATTGTGACGCAGGAGATTTATGTTCTTATTGTCATACAAGAACAGAACAACAATTTCATCCAGAAATTTACAAAAGTACAAAATGTAACGATGTTCAACAATCAGGATATTGCCCTAGAGGAGTATTCTGTGCTTTTGCACATGTAGAACGTAAGTTGAAACAAATATTAAGTATGACATTGCATGATATCACTTATAGTATATTGAATTTTCTTTATTTGTATTAAAAACATTTATCAAAATAAATAGTTGTTTAAATATTATTGGAAATTATATTAAAAAATCTGTTTTTATATTTTGAATTTTTTTTACTTGAAAATTTTTTTTTATATATACTAAGTAATTGTTTAATGTGGATATTTATTATTTCTTCTATTCCAATATTTTAATAGAAACCATTCAAGTTCTTTTTCTATTCTTTTTTATAAAATTGTTGATATATTTTGAATAGACTAGGCTTATTCTCTTATTCTTATCTTATTTAGGTGTTAACGCTTCAACATGCACTATGTCAAATATATAGGTATATATATATATTTTTTTTTGTAAAATTGGAGACAACCAAATTACTATGTGTGGCATGAAGACAGCAACTAAAGATAGCTGTTGATTAGCCGATCTCTCCTGAACGATGCCACGAATATGTAGGTACACTGACGGATGTCATCAATTCCAATACATCCATGACGCAGCTGGAAATTGTAAAAGGAAGATTTCCACTTACAGAACAGATTACGCTTACAAGGTAAAAACTCCAGATATTGAAATTAAATTAATCAGTTATAATAAGTAAATCTGTAAAATTAAAAAAAAAAAAAATTGGTAGTGCATAATACAAAGCATAATAAACTTCAAGGTGCTTAAAGCAGAGTAAGGTTATGCAGAAAGGGGTTACCGAAACAGATCGACATGTGAATTATTTGGAAGGGTATAAAAATCCCTTAAATATTAAATTAAGGAGGTATATCGGGTTTACTCAAATGCACAGATGTATTTGAAATTTATATAGCATATTACCCAGTACTCCCTCTGAGCTTCATATTTTTTTGAATTTTTTTTGAATCTTGATTTTAAGATATTGTTGCTGAAAGTTGTTCATTTTAACATAGGTTTATATGGCGAAGATGGACGGTGCGGCTCTTTTTTTGCCCATAACTGAGAAAAAATATGTAGAATTTGCGAAACAAAACTTTTCCATAGATAGTACACAGTATTATCTTATTTTTGATGTAAAACTAATGTAAGTTTCGAACATAGTACAGCTGTATTAATTAGAAACAGAAACCAATAATTGCATTTCTGTCTGACTTGAGGATTAATGTGGCAACGTCGCAATCAGCTGACAGGAAGGAGGGAATACATT